ATGACATGATAATTGAAACAGGAACTCAGTGCAATAAATTATATCTTTTGTCATAAACAGGGTCCACAAATTTGAGTTTTTTTATAATAAACAGGGTACCCCTTTCAGAATCCCAGCGGAACACCCCTACCCAAATTCTGGCGGAGTACCCCCTCCCCCCCGGATCATTATTTTATGTATGTGATTTGAGTTCATTCCATGTGTTGTTCTCTCCTGTGTCATGAGGGTTTTTCTCCAGGGTCTCCCTTCTCCCTCCTTAATAATCAGAGACTCATTATTTAATGTAATGGTAGTGTGTGTGAGTTACAGTGGGCCAAATCGGAAATAGAGTTAATAAAGTACCAAAGTGATGACATCACACAATTATTTTTTAAGAACTTTAGGGCTTTGGTGACATTTTCAGAAAGTACATGTAAAAATATGATAAATTTTGGAATCTCAGACTGATAGAGTGAAAAATGGCTGAGGTAGATAATTTAATAAGAAAATATTCCCATACAGTTTATCTTTTTTAAGGCCAGATCTAGGGTGATTAAATCTACAGTTGTAGTCCAAAAGAAGAGAAAATTCTTTTTGGAGCTTAAATGCTTAATATCTCCATTCTGAAAGCTCGCAATAGTCTTAAAGTTGGCAGAAATGGAGACAATGCTGTGTTGYTTTCAAAAATGAATATTTCAAAACTAAATGGCAAGATTTTGAATTGGACGAGGTCATCACACTTCAGTATTCTATTAAATATTCCGAAGCTGTATCCCACCAAATAAAATGAAAAAAWTTTTTTTTCTAATGTTTTCCTTAACAATAATATTTCTGATAATGTACCCTCTTTTTTCATGACTCAGTATGTTGAATAATATATGTTAGTTACATGTAAAATATTATCATGAGTCACTTACTTGACCACACGTCTGAATAAGCTGAGCAGTTATTTGTAGTTTGCATATAAGTAGGTTTACTTGATGGACAAACACAGGTGCACTCTGTTTGACTTAAATCTAAAACTCCACTTAACTTAGAGCAGGGATTATTTGATTGTGTACAAGATGTTTTGTTTACAAGTACTACTATTTTGTCTCTCTTGTCACGCATTATCCAACAGTACTTGCCATATACATGAGGGATATAGTTCAGTAGTATAAGAACTACGACTTGCACAATAAATAAGAATAAAATCCTTTGATCCATCTCCTTGATTCTAAGATAAGTCCAAGCCCAAAATGATTATTTTTTAAAGTTTTAAGAGTCTTCCGCGTATTCAGTTACTAATATAAGCTTGTGTAGTTGAGTGACTTGTAGAGTCCTTGAGTTGGTGATATACATGTAAACTTAGCTGCGTCTTAAAATTTCCTGTAAAAAAAAATACATTAAAATTAATTAAGGTATTGCTTGGTTTTAGGCTAACTGYATCACAAATCAAGAGAAGAGAAACCAAGCTGATGCTACGAATAAATATCGTTATCATGTGCTAAGAGATTCAGATCGAGCTTGAATGAATTCCAAAGATTGTAAATACAAGAGGGAAAAGAAGAAAGAAAAAAAAACAAAGCTAAGGGCGAAAAAATTAATGTTTTAAAATGATTTAGTAAAACCAAGTTTGAACTGAATTAGGATAAAATTATATACTTACATTCATTCTATGGGTAATCTCAAATCGTTTGACCAAAGAATCCGAAACGCTTTTCTTTGTTAATTTTTTTTGACTCAGTTTGTATATTTTGACGATATTACGATTACGTCAATGTTGTCCAAAGTACAGTAGTGAAACAGGCGGTTCCCGGACATCCGATCTTTCTTACTTCAATATTTTTTGATTCGCGAACAGACTGCCTTTCTAGTAAAAATCAGCTCTGTTGGTTTGACGGCGTGGAGGTGAGCAAGAACTTCATAAAATGTGACGAATTGACTAAACAATGTAGGATAACCATTCTTCGTAAAAGTTATTTTTAGAAGTAAAAAAACTTTATTAGATTACAGACTTTTCCCTATTTTTCTCTCCTGATCCTTGAGTTCATTGCTTTTTTATTAATTCTGAGGATTTTGAGATCTCCAAAAGCTTGTTGTATGATAAAATCAGTTAATGTTTTTATTAGTTTACTCACCCTTTTATTAGAAAGACGCGTCCGCCATGATGTTTAGTCACGCTCTAGCAGTGGATAAAAGACTGGGCTCAACTTTAGTTGTGCTACAACCGGAAATGGATTACCTTAAGGCCTGTCATCGAAAAAGCAAATTAAATATTTGGTAAARACTGAAACTGAAAATTAATATATAATATTTTTCTTGTATTTAATTATCATTTAAGATCTTTCATTGAGATCCTCAGCCAATTATTGTGCATTTTTTGACAGATGTGCCGACAGGAAAAAAGGTCATAACTCTAACTCTCCTTGGAATGAAGATAAAACCATTGATAAAACCAACACTTTAGTTTGTTCCTCTTTCCTTTTTTTCTCTGCTCTTAGCACATAAAAACACTTACGATATTCCGATATTTGATTTCCGGTAAAATAACTTCCGGTTTAGTCCAGTCTTTTCAGCGTCACGCGCGCGCTCGTCTAAACAAACATGGCGGACGGTCTGCTCAGAATCAGCTGAATGAATATATGGGTGAGTAAAACTTGRGAATTACTATTTTATTAGATAACTATGGAAAGTTAGTTAAGGCCTTAAAAMTAATCACGTTCAGTGGAGGTCTTAGCGGGTTTAAGGCTGAGGGAAAGCCGTAAAACAATTGTTTTTTTAAGGAGGAAGTGCTGGTGCAAAAGGGCAGAAAAATTTTTTGTCATGCGAATGAATRACCATGAAATTGGGACATGAAATGTCTTGCTTAAACCAGTTAACCAGGTTCAAGAGAGCAAACTTTTGGAGGGGGAGGAGAGGGGTACTGACTTGAATGGGGGATTTGGTTCAAGAGCCTAATGTGTCCATGACAACCCTGCTCTATTAATGACAGCTAATGTTCACCAATTAGTTKCTCCAGGGCCCAGTCGTATAGAAGGGTGGATAGTGCTATCCGATTGATAAATCCTTATCCAGTGTATCAGTCGATGCTGTTATCCAAATATTTATCCAGTGGATAAGATTTATCCATCGGATAGTGCTATCCACCCTTCATGCAACCTGGCCAGGGTGTACTACAGTGTATGCCGTCTGGGAATGTATCATGATGTATAGAACTATTGGCTCTTTCTCATGGGGTAGCCATGTTTATTCCCATGAATATGTGTATTATTTATGCCAGGGATAACGTATAGCTTACATGGGTGCAATATGAAAATAGAAGGCATTTGCCCAAAAATATCCAATAACTTTGTATCTAGTATGTGTAAGAAGGAGAGATAAATCCAAAAAATCTACCATTGAATTGTTAATTATGACAATGCTTCAGCTCAAATTCATATTTTATTAAAAATGAGGTATATTTTTTGTGCATTTAAAGCTTCATGGAAATAATATATTTAACTCTTTGTACAATAAATCAATATTGGATGATATAATATTCTTCATGAGAAGCTTTTTTAATGAACCTGCTCTGTATCCTAGCAAACTATCAGGCCTCTCTGGCTTTTTCACCATTTTTCAATATGAAAAACCTTTTACTCTAAAAAAGCTCTATTGAAATGTTTGAAAAGCTGCATAAGATGCACATGGCCTGTTTCATAATATGAAAAAAAAAATGCTTAGCAACCTGATGCTATTATAGGCCAGATTGCTGGTTTTCATAGTTGCCATCTTGGTTAAATTTTTTTTTTWWAAACTTGAAATTATTTYATTCCTCTTTTACTCTGACAAAGGACTAGCGTCYGAAACGTCAGTAAGTTTTTTTTCATCTTTTCACAGTGTAAAATTCACCCTTTTATCGTTACTGTTTCATTAGAAACACCGATGCAGCTCACACTAGTTTTTAGCTAGTTATCTCTTCTTGAAATTATTTTGTTTTTTATATCAACCAACATGGCTGCTGTGCTTTTCATATCTCTGGATTGATCGAAAACCAGCAATAGGCCGTAGCAGGAGGTTCATTGCRAAGAGAGTGCTTGGGGTCAAAGCTCTCTCTTATCTTTCCCCTCTTTCTACTTCTCTAATATCATAAATGGATAAATAAACATGTCAAATATGTTATCTTATCCAGGTGACTTAAAAGTTAAATCAGAGTGTGCCAGAAGATTGCCAGATTTCAGGGGCAGATCCAGGGGGTAAAGGGGGTGGCTAGCCATCCCCCTTTTGATCAAATTATTATCCTTAGCAAGCCACCCACTTTTTCTTGCATTTCCTGTAAAACCTTCATAATAGTTAACCCCCTTCTCAATTTCCTGGATCTGCAACTGGATTTATATTGGCTCAAAACATTGATAGATTATTTCAATTTTTTAAAACCCTCATATATACATGCTTCATTTTCATTAATAGGTACTTTACACTTCTGCTTAGCAAGATAGAAGTGTCATGTCATAATTCTTCTTTGTTTTTTAAAACATTTTATAATTATCGCACATTGCAACAATACCCTCATTGCTGACCAATATCAAAATATAACTCCTGGCAAAGCTTGAGAATGCTCTTATTTTTAAAAGGTAAAAAGACACATTCTGACCTAATTCCTGAATCAATGTCATCATTGGAGGAGGAAGGAAATTAGGAACAATGATGGCCAGATTTGGAAAGAGTCTTAAAAAGACATGTATGTCCATATTTGGCATGGAACAAAACAATTGCAACCATATATTGTCAAGTCAACATTAATTGTCCATATTGGAATAATTCCATTACTTATTCTATTACTAATTATTAGTAAACATTAACAAATTGTCTTTATTTGGTGAAGACACTATTTTGGTGTCCAATATTTGGTAAGGATGCCATTGGTCATCCATATTTGAATGTCAGTGGTCCACATTTGGTAAAGACTTTGCATCTTTAGTTGCCCTTTATTTGGCATCAAAACCACTGGTTTTCTATCTTTGTTTTGGCAAAGAAATTGTTGGTAATGATGCCATTTGTGTCCCCAATTGGTAAATTTATCATTGGTTATCCATATTTGGTTAAGACAAAATACTTTGTTCTTATATGGCAAAAGAAACAAAATTGCATGTCCTTGTTAGGTGAACAGCRTCATCTTGGAGCACAGAGGCAAATAACGTTTAATGTTGATACAAAGCATTGATGTTTCTTGTTCATTGGAGCAAAACTTCAACATTTAGGTGTTTATTGAGTCACACCTTACTTGTCTGTCATATGTCAAAAATATTCTGATAGCATTCCTTAGAGTTGTCAACGTGAATATCTGGAAAGGTGRAAGGATAACAAACTGGATATCAGAATACCCATTGTCAATAACTTGTTTTGATAAAACCATTTCCAGGCAGGAGTGAAGTTTGAAATCCATACAATTCTTCTCAACATGTTCCATTTGCCTAAACTACAAGGCGAAATTACTTCAAATCCAGATTAAATTCCAAAGAACTTTTCTGGGACATAATTAGCTGACCAGTTGATAAAAGAGGATAACAACACATATAGGGTGTAGTAGAGACAGCTGTGACAAAATTTTTGAGCCCGAGGACTTTCTGGCTGACACAACCACTGAAAAAAAGGAACTTTGACTTAGAATTGATAGATGGAGGATGGATAGGAGGATAAAGGAAAAGATCAGTGGATGGACAAATTGGATGGGGGAATAAATTGATGTGTGCATGCATGCATTGAGGGATGGATAGACAGAAGGATGGTTGCACGGAGGAACGGATGGATGGAAATGTTGTTTTCTGTTTCATTTTTACGCTTTGGTTGGTGGTTTCAGTGGTGGGATGGTTGGAGAGTTGTTCTGGGCCTGGTTGTACGAAGCCTGGATAGCGCTATCTAGCAGATAAATCCTTATCCAGTGGATAAGTCTATGCTGTTATCCGATAAATTTATTTACTGGATAAGATTTATCCGTCGGATCCGTAGCGATATCCAGAATTCGTACAACCAGGCCCAGATAATAATTAAAGCAGAGTTCTTGTTATGTTGGTTGGTTGGTGGTTTGGTGGATGGTTGTTTAGTTTATTGGGATTGGGTTAATGTCTTATTGTACATCATGTTGTTCTATAACCATGAGGGTGCGAATGGTTGGTATGAAGGATACCAACTGGTCGAACCAACCAAGGTACCTGACCACTTTCCTCCTTCATGGCAATACAAGTGGAACACAAAGTCTCGTATCTCATACTCACCTTTCCCAGCCTTCACCGCTGGTGATCTTGGYCCTATCATGTAATGCTCTCCATCTACTAGACTAAATGCCGCGACTTGGAACCAGAAGTCGTTGCCATTTTCCAGTCTTGGTATGGTCCATTCTGTTCGATCTCTTTCCACATCTATTGTTTCGAGTTTGCCTTCTTTCTTAAAATAATATATCTAAGCAAACACACACATGTTAGTAAAGAAAGGAAAGTGCTTTATGAGAGCACATAGCACGCACGCGCACTTTCAGTTGTGTCATTCTGCCCATCTAAAATAACGGTTATTGTAATTTGTTTCTTATGAAAAAAATGAAAAACTTGCTTGCTGTGCTGTGTGCAGTTATAAAGCACTTGGGAATTGGCAGAACACTCGACTGAAAAGTGTCGAGAAGCACTCCGCTACGCGTCGTGCTTCTTCAACACTTCTGTCGTGTCCTGCCAGTCCTCGCGTGATTTATAACTGCACTCAGCACGTGCGCGCATTATTTTCTATTTTTTCAATATATTTGTGTTATATACCCTGTATCCATCGACTCGTAGTTTTCGAATTTTGTCCCAAGAGATTGTTGCTTCCCTTTGGAATCCATCATACAATGCTTGCACGTTGTCAGGCCAGCTTAATGGAACTAGAAAAATGAAGAAAAAGTTGTGTTAAACCTTAAAGACTGTTTATATAACTCTTTAGAATTGCGCTCAAGGAATCTCGCAAGAAATGAAGTGCCAGCAATCAATCAGAATRAAGAATTCAAACCGGTTTGTTCGATAATTTTTCTAGGAAGAACCTCTTACTCGTTGCAAGGTCAAAGTCAGCCATGACAGGCGGTCCCTCTCCAATCGTGTTTTTCGCACGGACAGAAAACTGGAAACGTGTTTTCAAGTCCAGATTGTGRACTCGAAGTTCGGTTGAGAAGTTGGTTGTCTTGCTCACGGTTTTGCTATCTACCAACCTGAATTGTAAAAGTAATACATAAATAATACGTTTATTTAGAACCATCTTTGCCTACGATCTGTTTAGTGGGAAGATCATGGGATACAGACTCGGAAGGACTAAAACTCAGGGTCTTAAGATGTCTGAATAGTAGGTGTTGCCTTTGCTGCAAAAATGTCCGCCAATTTTACTGGCCGTCGATGTGGCTCGAATAACTACGTAAAATGGCGGTTCCGTTTAACTTTGCAACGTTGAATAACGAAAATTAGGGCTTCTTATAAGAGCTGAGTTGCTTCAGTCAAAAGCGTCGGTCAGACTTTCTAAATGAATGCAATCCTTTGTCATTTGGTTACTGTGGATAGAATTTGATTTGGATGGGGGCGGAATAACTGTAGTTAAGAGAGAAGGGGGAGGAGGAAGGGAGGAGGGAGGAGGGAGGAGGGAGGAGGGGAGGGGATTAGCTAAAGTGCCCCGCGGATCACATTCCCTCTTCAGTGCCTTCAAATAGGTTTTCACAATCTTATAATCTCCTATTTACCTTCTCACAGATAYAGTGTAACTCATGATAGCACCATTAGATGTTTTGGGAGGAGCCCACTGCAGCAGAACATAAGAGGCGTTCTGCACAACCAAAGTCAGGTGAGAGGGAGGTTCGGGTACTGAAACAAAAACCAGACAAACCTGATTTAAAAACCTGTTTGACAGAGCACTTGTGGCAAAAATGTTCGTGTGTCAACAGTGACAAACAAAATTGGCAAAAAGGAATCATTAAACAAATGAAAACCAATATCATAAAACAGAACCATGTTGATGAAATATTTGATTTACCATGGTCAATACGGTGACTTCATTTTTAAGGGCTCATATTTTGAATTATTTATAAAAACAACGTTAAAAATTTTATGCTTTAAACCGATAGTTTCCTTTCACAGATTTAATCAAAATGAAATTTTTTTTAGCATTCTTTTATGCATTCCTTATAATTTCTTGGTAAGGTACCTTTCTTTAGTTATTAGTCGTTCCGACGTCGAGGAAAAAACTGGGTCGAGTTGGCATTACAGTGGTCCCCTAAAACAGCCCCATAATGCACTGCAATGCCAACTCGACCCAGTTTTTTCCTGATATGAAACCTCGGAACAGTTAATGTGAATGCGAATTCCCCCTTCTCTCCCTTTCCCTCCCCTCTGTTAAATAAAAAACGATTCTTAGTACATATTATATCTGTTTACAATATATTAATTTACGAGTATTAATTTTCAATTTTATCATCATCTTCGATTATTGTCAATATTGTTATATATGGTTATAGTTTTGTTATTTATGGTTGAGGTATTTTTAACTTACACAAATGAGCCTCCTTTGAGTTTGTTTCTGAATGGCGTTTAGCTGATTTACTATCAGTGATCGAACCTATATAAACAAAAAAAAAAAAATGGCTGCCAGGTTTAGATTTAAGTTTAGTCAGTCTTTGAGTAATGGTAGGATTAGTTCTTGGTGGCTGTTGGTATTGATTAACAATGATGATAAATGTTATGCCAAATTTATGACAAAGTGAATAGATCCCCTGCAGTACGAAGTCAGAATGCATCTCAATTGGAGGACATAACAATAGGTTTCCAATTCTTAGGAGATCGAAATTCTTTTGTTTTGTCCTCCAAATTGAGCTGCTTTGACGTCACATGCAACGGGTMTATAGTCCTCTTTAGTTTAGGTGTATTTATGGCCATGCGAAATGTAAACGTCAGGCCAAACAACAATTTAATTAATATAAAATAATCGTACTTACTGCCCATAGGTGTCCTCAGAGGGCCCACGATGCTACTTCCCGGACCGTCCCCAAGACTATTGTACGCTAGAACCTGGAAACGGTACGACGTGAAGGCATCGAGTTGAAGCACTGCTGTCGCGCGTACAGTGGACTTAAACTTTGCCTTTCTTGGGCGGTAGTCGAAGTCATCAGTCCAGAAGTACACCTGGTAGAACAAAACATGAGTTACGATATCAATCTATAATTGCGCAGTCAAGCTACGGTAGATGTTTCCGCAAATCACAAAAGAAAGTTCCCTTGCTCCCGGACTACACAAGAGAACAAAAACTGCTGAGAACTAAGAGAAAAAAAAGCAAAAAGCATAGGAGAGAACCAACATCTACCTCTACTAACAACAGACGCAGCGCATTAACATGGCACACCACCCCCTTTACCTGAGAGACACAAACTTGGAACACAGATTTGGATTTCTCGTCTTATGAGAGAGTATAGGTATGTTATTATACATATATTTTATTTACCTKATATCCAAGTAGCTTTCCTCCAGCAATATCTCTCTTGTTTGATACCGGTGTCCATGTTGCGACGGCTGAGGTAGGCGAAGTGATGGTGATTTTAAGTTTGGTAGGTCTGCCAACAGGATCTAAAGAAAGATTAGTTACCTTCAATCGGTCAATCGGTCTGTCTGTCTGTCTGTCGGTCGGTCGGTCGGTCGGTCGGTCGGTCGGTCGGTCACGTTAATCAAATAGACTTAATCAGTCATGGCATCCATGTGTCGTCTTCCGAGAAAGGAAATTATATCTCGAGGCGTGACCGATTTCTTCGATTCCGATTTCCTCTTATACTTCGTTGGGCCTGGTATTTCGTATTCGCACAAAATGATTTTGTAACTAAGTTTACTCACATCGCTCTCCAGAATATCCATATTGAACGTCACTCTTAGGTCCAAAGCCCCTCTTGTTAGCAGCCTGTACTTGGAAGGCATACTTGGTGTAGTACTTCGTACCCTTGATGGTAAACCTGGTCCTGTTGTTCCGCMCCTCGTGACGTTTCATTGATTTTTTACTGTCGGCTTTCTTGTAGTAGACGACGTAAAATGGATCGGGGCCATTTTGTTGCATTAAAGTCAAGCGCTACAAATAATGAGATGGAAAACATTATTCTCTTGTCCAGAAGTTTCAACAATTTTAAGATTATTTTTCGTTACCAAGTTTTAATTAGAAACATCTTGAAGTTAATCACTGAACCCGAGGTGAAAAATAATAGTTGGCGAAGGAGTTTGTGCTTTGGAAGACTAGTACAAAGTCGCAGTTAGCTTGAAAATGCTCGCTTACTCATTGGTGGTGAGCGCGGAATGCAAGGCAGTCTGGTCTGGTTTACCTGCCATGAAATTTGCAAGGTAGAAGGAGTCTTCCCTTTGCTTTTAATGCCTTGCGGAGGTATGTCTGGTGCTGAAAGTATAATCAGAACATGTAATAAGACTAAGTGATCCCGCGGTGTTCCCGCGCTGATCCCGTTGGCTTTGAGTTACATAATAATATTTAGTCACTATCTTTCGTACGGTGATAAAATTATCTACTACGACACATTTGTTTTACATAATAATATAAGATTACACRGCAATCATACTTGAAATTGGAATCGATTTCCGCGGCTGCCTTATGCGAAAAGGGTCAGTGCAGGGGAATGGAGAAGGGCATTGGTGAGGAAAACTCTAAAGAGGAGATGAAACGCGTACGCGCGTGTACTGATTGGCGAGAAATAATTGGTACATTGCTCCCCATATGACCGAGACCTCGCTACGCCACTGAATAGGGTTTTCGGTGTGGTATGTTGTTCTGTCCGAGGCGTTTTTCGTACATAACACGTGAGCTGAGTGTTGAAAGCATGGAGTGTTGCATGTAGATAGAGTGTGCAGCGAATCAAGTATGCCAAATTGGAAACCAGTATTCACAATAAATTTGTTTACCCTAAATTTATTTACCCACTATAAAAAAGGCTATAACTTTTATTACTAAGACTAACTTGGTCTTACCATTTGGAGGAGTGATAATAGTAGCCGTCTCGGCACTAGGCCTACTCGAACCAATTGCATTTACTGCGATTGCGCGGAAAGTATAACGAGCCCATGGTGACATAGTGACTTCTACACGTGTCTCCTTAGGATCTGTGATGGTTTTTACTAGGCTCCAGACACGCGGGTAAAAATAGACCTTTTGTTCAATGATCACCCTGGTTATCGGGCTGTAGTTATCGCGTCCTAGAGACCACGTGATGTTGACTTTGTAGCGACTGTTGACATTGGAGACCTTTACGTGTTTGGGTGGATCTGGAGGACCTGTGGAGAAGTGCACAAAAATGAGATTAATAGTTCCCTTCACAGTTCCCTGCGCCATTTTGAAAGGTAGCTGTGTGCTTTTGCATCGAGACGCGAGACGAACGGTGAGCTTGCAATGATAGAGACTTTTTAACACCTTGGACAATTATTCACATGTCTCTATCATTGCAAGCTCACCGTTTAAGCACGGCTACCTTTCAAGATGGCGCAGGAAACTATAAAGGGGACTATTGTATTTTTTATCCGCGTCTAACGACGGGAAGACTACACAGCCCATGATAGGGTCGAGCAACTAGAAATTCCAATTTTAACTTAAAATGCCAATAAAATAAGTATATTTTATATTTATTACATTTTCAATACAATAAGTATATTTTTATGAATTAGTGTACCTTGTACTTGAAGAATAGCGTGTTCAATAGAAGACTTAGAAGACACAGACCCAAGCGGTGTCGACACTGTACATGAGTACAGTCCCGCATCCGAGAACCGAACTCCATTAATGTTAATATAACTCATGCCTTTTCCGCTTTTCCCAATTGTTATGCGTGAGTTGGGGATGACTGGCTGGTAGTACCTGCTCCATTGGATCGTGACTTCAGTCACGCCCATTGTCGACACGCCACATGTAAATCTGACATTTGATCCAATTTTGGCCATCTGGTCTTTTGGAAGGGTAGTAATTGCTAAATTTTCTGCAATCAAATTAAATTGGAAGAAAACTAATATTAGTATTGAATAACGCTAACGATTTCTGCCAAAAGATGTGGCGACACATTAATGATGTAAGCAGTGCCGAGATACAGCGTACGAGYGTTAATCACGTGGTCAAGGTAGCACTGCCACAAACCTTGAACGTTGAGCCGCGCGGTTCTTGAATTCGAACCAAGTCTATTGGAAACTTCACATGTGTATCGTCCACTGTCAAAGCGCGTTAGATTAAAAATCCGCAGATTCCCATTGGCCATGAACAGGTATCGTGGATTCTTCCTGAGATACGTAGATCCCTTTCTCCACCTTACTGTAGGCTTTGGGTTTCCTGTGGGGTTGCATGGCAGAGTGACAGTGGAGCGAATTAGCTTGTTGATGTCTTCAGGAGCTTTACTTCCGGGACCAAACCCAGCGGGGATTTCTGCGACCATTACTTCAGCGGATGATATCATTTGACCATGCCTGTTGGTCACTACGCACTGATACATTCCCCTGTCGCTGTACGCGAGCCTCGATAAAGTGAGGTTCCCACCACTGAAAGAGTGCTTAGCGGACGGTTTCAAGGCGAATCCATTGAAGTACCATTGATAATGGACCCTTGGTATACCAAAGGCCTCACAGGGGAGAGATATAGTGCTGTTATTACCAACTATAACGTCACTTGGTTTTTTGACCCACTCAGGTTTGGCTAAAAAGGAAGAAAGTTGGATAAGTTTGGCAAAGACTAAGACTTTCGAGGCTGTAATTTGCCTGTACCGCAAGCAATATGATTGGATGAACCGGATAAAAAACAAGAAGCCATTTCTGTGTAGTGGCATGGTTAATTGCTGTTGCAAAAGATTCTGTGCAAACGTACACGCAAAAAATTAAATAATTGGAAGCAAGTTTAGTGTTATGGCTTTATCTACTCCACATGCGCTCTAACATCCATCTCTATTTAAACGCACAAGCATATGCCAATACTTGGAGCACACTGAGTAGGCTGACTGAGTGTCATTTAAAGATGATTAATAGCCTCTAGACTGCATGAGCAAGAAAGGGAGGAACTTATGGAATTTTACATAATTAGCATACCTTCCATTCTCACAGTTGTGGTTCTGGAATCAGATCTTCCCGATGGATCCGTTGCCTTACATCTATACCTCCCGGCGTCGCTGCTGCTAAAGCTTTTGATAATGTGACGTCGTGCGTTGCCTGCAATCTGGCCAATGATCATATGTAGACCTTTCTTTCGTAGAGTTATTTTTGGTACAGGCCTGGAAATTCATGAAAAATTGGTATGAAAAATGAAACAAAAAAAAGTAATTTTGCTTTTGCAAACATGTTAACTTTATGAGCACCTGTATTGTTGTGTATGGTGTTCTCTCATACCGAGTTTGTATAAAAAGACCCAGTATGAAAGGCTCTCGACGCAGAAGTACCGTGTCGTGCTTTTACGACATATGATTGGTTTAAGCGCAGTTCTTCGGTGACATTGATATTTCTTCATTTGATAGCTAATGAAATTCAAATATAATGTAGCGCAGTACTTACATTCCATAGACGATGCACTCAAGGGCAAACTGTTCTCCCTTCATAGCCACCTTTGTTAGTGAAAACTCAGTTGATATCATTGGTGGCTGATTGACTAATGGAAGCACTAATAAAGTCAGAAAACATACTGCATTATGATTTTTAACTACACAAATTTGAGTATATTCCATAATCATCTGCCTAGATTTGGTCATTCTTCAGCAAACCATTGTATTCTGGGTTTGTTGCAAGGTGTTTTATGCCGCTGATGACACGAAGCAAGGGAGCCTTTAGTACGTAGCCGCTATTAGGTCGTCACACAACGCTCACTCTCCTAAGCTAATAGCGGCTGTGTAGGAGACTAAGAACCCTTGTGCATGCATGTTATGTGTCTTGTGATAGACGCCCTGGACTTTTGGTCCTGAGGGTTGAGAACTCGAGCTCGGTTGGTGCACATGACAAAGCACTTTATTTCAAATTGTGCTCTCTCCTCCCAGGCGTAACTGGACAACTCTACTTATATATTAGGGTAATTTGGAGTAGCGTTCGATGGACTTGTATCCAAAAGTACTGATCCTCCCAACCGCAAATGGGGACAGATTGTATTACTTATCTTACTTATCATCTCGTACTTACCAGGGTAAACCGTGAGGACCAAAGTCCGTACCACGTGTCTATTGATAACATTATTGGTCACCGTACACACATAGTCACCAGAATCCCTACTCTTGACGTACGAGAAGTGTAGGTCCCCGTTAGAGCTGACCGTGTAGTAAGGTGACTGGGGAAGAGGTTTGCGCAAGCTCCGGTTCTGTGGGTCGATTTTTGACCACTGGATTTGCCTGTCAGGGTAAGAGTCAGGTGCGATGCACTTTAAAACCACGCTATGACTCTCTTCTTTTCTGATGAATTCGTTCCCTTTGGCAAATTGCTTGAGATCTGCAGGGATATGAAATAAGTACCTATTAAAATGACTGTCATTATGGAAGAAAAAAAATACGATGTTAATCTGCGTGCTTATCCCTTTCTTTCTCTTGTCAGGGAGAACTCTGCTTGCAGGGCAGGTCGACTAGTTAAGTAAACCAATTTTTTGTCTCAAATACTTGTCTGTCTTTCGTAATTTTTGATTTTTCAACTCTTGGTTTGCAACTCTAATTTTCGTAAGAACAAACCTTGAGGATTAGTTTGCATTTACGTTAAAATTTTTATTGGGCAAAACGCAATACTCGACCTTGTAGCCAGTAGCTAGTACCTAAAAAACCTGTGATCTTCATTCGATGATCGAATTGCAATTTAGTATTTAATATTTGTGAAGGAAAGAAAGCAAATCTCCCGACAAAAGTTGTCTGAGTTGTCACGTACTACTTACATGGAAACTTGACCTTTGCTCTTCTGCTGAACACCGCGCCTCTCGTATTAGACACTAGACACTGGTAGAACCCCTCGTCACGGTAAACAAGAGCGTTAGAGACGAACAGTGATCCATCAGCTGTCTTCATCATGTCTTGTTGTCGGTGGAACTGTATTATCTTGTTGTTGTGGAACCACGTAACAGTGTTGTTCTGGCTGTTGCTGATGCACATGAGAGTGAAGCTGAATCCTATGATGACAGTGTCCGAGGGTTGAACCAGAATAACTGGTTTGCTATTGGAGGCTAAAAGTAATTGAGCATGCGCATTAGGATTTTGAAGGAAAATTTTGATATTTTGGTCGCTGGCAAAAAACAGACTTAGGAACGTAATGCAAAATCTACTATCCCTCTACCTGCTCCCTCGCCAAGACTCCTTCTCTTCCTTTTTTCCCACCCCCCTCTCTAATACGTTGTCACGTGGGTTTCTAATTTACATATTAATTTCTCTCCCAGGATGCATTGCTACCTGCAACTTACCGCATGCTTTTAAAAAGAGTACAAGGAGTAGACAGAACGAGATCATCTTTTACCAGGTACTGATCCAGTTATTACAACCTGTATATACGATAAATATGTAATRATTTAATCAACATAGGCCTTTTCTGAGTTCGATAAACAGGATGCATTTTGGTCTAGCTTGGGTACGAGCAATGCCATATAAGGCATGATGGACAAACGATGTTTATACCGAAGCCAGACCACAATGCACCATAAACCCACCGTTGGGCAGTAATGTCACTGATCTAAGGAACCGGTCATTATTCGTTAACATATAGCTGGTGTCCTTATTCGATTGTCTAAAAACCACCCACTTCCCCAGTTCTCCGATCCCACTTTCCCTATTCCTCCCCCCAGGGGATAAAAATGACAGGTATCTAAGTCAGTACTTTTGACTTTTGACAAAACAAAATACGAAAACCAGAAGTAAAATATTTGATTAACCAAAATGTTCATTCAGAAAATACCGCTAGAATTTGGCGCCCTCTGAACGAGAAAAGTAGTTCTAGACGGGTATCTTGGAGTCTGTCTCCATTCTTTCCACGATATATAATGACGTTTATTGCCTTCCACAAGCCATGTTACATGCACGACGGGCGAGCTGTTGTCAAAACACAAAACTAAGTATCGCAAATAGAATGATTTCGCGCCCTCTGAACGAGAAAAGTAGTTCTAGACTGGTATCTTGGAGTCTGTCTCCATTCTTTCCACGATATATAATGACCTTTATTACCTCCCGCAAGCCATGTTACATGCATGACGGGCGAGCTGTTGTCAAAACACAAAACTTAGTATCGCAAAGATTAACGCTCTCTCTTACCACATACTTATAAAAACCTATATAATAATTGATATCGTATTATTTTTTGCCCTCATTTCTTTTTCCATTCAGTGCATTTATCGCTTTAATGTATTTGATTCGTAATATTTTTTGTGGCTCTCTAAATAGAGTAGAAAAAAATTGATGATTCATCCAGTACAAACCTACGCACACCAAGTTTAAAGAAGAAAAAAATCGACAAAATTTAACGTTTTATACCAAGATAGCAAGGAGAGCTTTGATGCGCTCTTAATTTTGCGCATTCGATCATTTTTCGTGAATTACACGACTTTCTCCAACTTAATTTCTACCACAGAAGATTCAGAGTTTATGAATTTTTAATCTTAAATCTAGCCTTTTGGCTTCAAAGATTTGAATTTACATATAGTTGAAGTTATTTTAGAACAAATGAGTGAAAAGTCATCAAAATTTCGACATAACATATGACTGGATTTTTCAGTGTATATTTTCACACAGTAATCAGGAAAAAAAATGTAATTTCACAAAAATTTAGAGTTTAAAAAGAATTCATTTGGTTATCATCTATTTTATAGTTTTGATTCGTTTTTGTTGGATTATTTGAAAAAAAGTGTCGTGTTGTTTGCATTACAACATCTATCACAATTCGTAYTTTGGTTAAGTTAGACGCTTAGAACGATCGAGATAACAACATGAATGAGCTAGCGCTTTGTTTGAAAAGAATAATTCCTTGTAGAACATTAATCTAAAACCCTATTCTCGTTATGTCTATTACGCTACAAAAATAGTTACATTATGTTACTTTACCTTGCCAACATATCTTGAATCGGCCTGATACTATGAAACAATTCCCCTCAGCAGAGCGGAATTCTTTAATGATGTGGTTAAAGTCCCGTCTTCAGTACCTCACTATCCCGATTACTTTTAAGAGTAATACACGAGATTCGGTAACAGAGTTCGTCGAAATTGCAGCACAGCTAGGTATATTGAACGAATAAATAATTCACTACTCTAGTATATTTAACACGGATGTTTTCTTGTCGTTTGATTAACAATTGGCGAGTAAAGTCGACATGAATAGCCTAAGGTTCAGCCCATTGGATAATAGGACGTAACAACCTCACTGTTTAAAGGTTTTGAAGATAATGAAGTCTTGCTCCTACTGTATTTGCATTATGATTGAATGAATTAGGTGGGTTTTTTTGTCGGCTTCTTTATCTTTGGTTAATTCGTGTCAGTTGGGAGGCGAAGTTATATTTAAGGGATGAACTACTCGTAATGTGTACCTTTAAAACATTTATTTGAGAATCCAAACTTGTGGTTTTTAGTCATTAAAACTGGCTTAAAGTTAAAATTAARAACAGGTACAATTATAGTCACTATATTGTCTCTCTCCTATTCCTCCTACATAGTTTTACTTATCTTATGCAGTTCTTTATCATTGTAAATTGATATCCTTCCTCAAAATTAAGTTTTGATTATCCTTGCCGCTTCTCTTCAGCAGTTTTCCCATTTTTTATTTTTCTTCCTCTAGAGAGACATTTCTTTTAAACATTTCATGTCCAAAATAAGTAACATTTCGTCTGTAATTATTAATACATACAGTCAAGTCAATTTGAGGAGATGAAAATTAATAGTGACTTTAATTTTCGACGGACCAATAAGAGTTTTTCGATTTGTATTTATCCGATGACGGAAGTGTTTTTTTAAGAGACGTTGGAGGAATTTGAAGATTAAAATGTTTTGACGATTAACAATGGTGAACGTGTAGAGCGAGTCCAGTGGTCTCGCTTTGATACTGAGGGAGAGTGTTGCTTGTGCGGGGGTGTTAAGAGAGAATTTGACGGGAAGTCTACTAAAATCGCTGAGAACTATAGAAATATAAGGATTGGTGCATCAATAACGTATGCCATTAAAATTCAGGAATTCCGGGCAAATATCTCTAGTCACAAGTTATGAACTTTGGATTAAAAAACTTTGAAATCCGCTTTTAGGAAATCAAATATAAGTGAATCAGATATTGGTGAATGGTACATTCTTGTAGTAATGGTATCGATGTACCGTAATAGACCCTTCAGTTACCTTGGGGGTAATGTTTTCCCATTCCAGACCACGTGTCATTCCTTACAATATCATTTCTTTGTTTAATGGTCGAGCATTAGAAGACACACAAATATGAATACAACTCAAACAAATAATATTATTCTCAAGAGAATGACGCGTGGACTGAAATGGGGAAAT